AGGGCCTCCTGCCCGTCTTATATAGAATGGGGGGTAGGATTACAAGATAAAAAATGTAACCAATATGGTATCGGTTTCCTAAATCTATTACCAAACCAAAACTTTAGGCCGTTCCGTAATATACAAGAAAACGTAATACTCAAGTCATGATCCGTTACATATTTCATAGATATAAGTTATCCCCTAAAATTAGTAGGATAACCATGTCGTGTGGATATGGGGTACCCATAATCTCCACATCGCTGAACACCTATGCAAACTACTCAACTAAGGCCCTGTTTAGTTCGCGAAAAGAAAATTTTTGGGTGTCACATCGGATGTTTGATCGGATATCGGAAGGGGTTTTCGGATACGAATGGAAAAACTAATTTCATAACTCGCTTTGAAACCGCTTGACGAATCTTTTGAGCCTAATTAAGCCGTCATTAGCACATGTGGGTTATTGTAACACTTATAGCTAATAATGAACTAATTAGGCTTAAAAGATTTGTCTCGCGATTTCCATACAAACTGTGTAATTAGTTTTTTAATCTATATTTAATGTTATATATATGTGTTTAAAGATTCGATGTGATTTTTTTGGAAAAAAAATTTAGGAACAAAACCAGGGCTAATTATATCTTCCAGATCGACATGGAGATCTGGACTGATCAACTATAGATACGTACATGTAAACGTTAATTGGTTGCCGAGCTTGTCTGTGGGCCTTCCACCACGTACAGAGTCCACAGCAAACAGCAGAGTACGCACGTACACGCCTCAGCTCATAATTGAGGAGGCGAGACGGCATGTGTGTACGTATACTACATGCGAAGGGGAGGAGCGAAGGCGAAGCCCCTCTCTAGCCACCTACTCTCTCCCCCGCGTACTTAATTTGTTCCTTTTGTCTGCTGATCGATCGATTGATACACTGTAGATCCTATATAATTGATGTGTCTGTCGTCTGTGGGGACTCCGGATAAAATTAACACGCCATGCACCAACGCATTCATAGCGTGTGTGTGCACGCAACGACGCGCGTGCAGCTAGCTAGCATGCAGATGCAGGGTGTTGTAGGGCACAGGACATGCAGAGCCATCGGCCATGGCCATTGCAGTCAGCAGATGCTGCTGCTGCTGCATGCTTCATTTCCTCACCGATCCATCCATCGGTGGATCTGTGTACCGGCCGGTGTGTACGCTTGATTTCCTCGACGTGCTAAGGTGTTTCAGCTATCGTGGTCGAAGTACTGCTCCTTCACCTATGTTAAAATTTATATAAAAAAAGTTGTTTTATTTTGTAACAGAGGAAGAACGAGCTAATTATTACCCGTTTTCTTTGGGGGTTGGGGGGGGGGGGGGTGTCACGAGTAGAAGCATGCAGCTGCAGACTCGATCGGTGATGCAGACTATGGCGAGTAACTGACAGATGTGATAGAGGAGGCATATAGAGCAGATCGAGAGGAGCATGTGCAGGCATGCATCACATGCCGTGCTAGCTCGCTGCTGGATGGAAGCCGAAGCCGTTATGGGCAATGGCATGGGCAATAATGGAATAGGATTGTTGTTTATCGAGGGGGTATGTTTGTTCATTTCGATCGGATTGTGCTCCTCCTACTGTTCGCTGCGTCCGGACGGAGTGACTGTGCATCGTGCCATCCATGAATACACTTGTTTACTTAAAAGTAAAAGAAAAGGGGAAGAGGCATGATTATTGCTGACTACATATATGTATTGGGCAAGTTTGGTGTTAGTATCAGAATTATACAGAACTTGCGGCTTGAAGATTATTGCCTAGATTATTTATTTTTTTTCATCATTCTGTTAGATGTAGAGCAGCTATTCTAACTCTAGATATCGAATTTATTAGATATTTTTGAATCTTAATTATGTATCTTAAGTTAGCTAGCAATTGATATTTAATTGTAAAAACAAGTGCTGAAAGAACTAGAGAACCATCATAAGAAAAAAGAAGAAAAATAGCGGAGATACATTTTTACATATACTAGTAATATGTTCATACATTGCAACTGACCTATACCATTAGGAATGATCTAGGTGCGGATCGAACCTAAATCACATTTTTTGTTGTTAACCAACCTTTTTTATCTGGGAATTTTCTTTTATTATGCGAGAGAGTGTGTTGCGCACGAGGGGAAATAGGGGAGGAAGGAACCAACGACTCCACTTTTAAATAGTAAACAACCGTTTTTTATCTAGGAATTTTCTTTTGTTATGCGAGTGCACGCTGCATGTGAGGGGAGGACAAAACAAGTGTGCTATTAAGTAATAGAGGACATAATTCACAATCCTTTATAAAACAAAATCCACCTTTAAATAAATTTAACATGTTAAGGGAACAATTATTTTTATTATTCGGAAGTTACTACTGATGAATGAATATAATTATTTTTAAGTCCATGTAAAAATAGAGATCCAGAGTAAAAATAAATAAATTTAACATGGCATGGGAACAAAGAGGAGCATTTACAATCAAATTGGATTACATCAAAGCGAGGACCATGCTTTGATTATCATTGGTTAGCAAGTTCAGGTTGATATCTTTTAATACTGAAAGAATACATAGTTCTGCATCTGTATCATCCACACTTCACGATGAATATGATACTCTAACTACTAAAAACTTCGAAGGAAATACTCCTGGAATAAGGGGGAAAACCGTGAATAGATGGTGGCGGCTAACTATTAAAGCACTGAAGTATACTTTTGCCACAGTACAGTAATAGGAGTAATCCTTTCTCTTTCCGGAATGCTCCTGGAGAGCATGTTCCTCTGAT